AATTCCTTCTCTAATATTTTTTTCCACTGTGATATAGTTAGAGTCTGTTATTGAAGTATCTTGTTTTGTTTGGGGCAGTTTGTTCCCTTGTTTTTTCATGTTATTTGTGTGTCTACCCATCTAGCGGTATGGATCTGAGGTAGTAGAGTTTCTACCCTGTGGACTTGTATTGTCCCTGAAGGTTTCCAGTACCTCACTGTTTAGAGGAAGACAAATAATAATAAATAATGCAAACAATTTTACAGCATTAAACCAAATAGTTCCTACTATGAAGTCTACAGTGTTAATTATCGCAATACACAGAAATGATGTGTTCAGTTATTGTCTACAATAAAAATGGCAACTTTGCAAAAGGTTTTATAATTTCAAATGGTGGACAAGGAGAGAACAGAAGTGATACAGGACGTGATGATTATGAGGGAGGAGGAGAAAAGAAGAAGTAAAAAGTTAAAGGAAGAGTGAAAGAACAATAGAGATTGACTGTTAGCAGAAGAAAAGACAAAAATAGAATCAAAGGAAACAGCTAAGAGAATATATATATATATATATATATATATATATATATATAAATTTTTAAATAAAAATAATACAAAACAAAACTAAACTATACTAATGAAATATCCTAGTCCTCAAACAATGAAAATAACTGACTTCAAAAATGCTAGAAATGATTTAAAGAAAACAAATGTCAGTATGAATGAATGTCCATGTACCATTAAGGTCACAATTAAACAGAGAAAAGGGGAAGAGAGAGAAAGAGAGAGAGAGACAGAGAGAGAGAGAGAGAAGAGAAAAAAAAAACCCAATGAAAAGTTAAAGAATTCTTTCTGTTGGAGTTCAAAAGTTTCTCAGCTTCTCAGCAGTCTTAGGTGGGGTCCTCTGGTGCGTGATGATCCACCCTGTGGGTTGCTGGAGTGAGAGAGGTAATCTCATAGGCAGAATTTCTGGAGGCAAGGTTTAGGCTTAGGTGGGCCAATAGGTCTGGAGATTTTAAATCTGTGAGCCACCAGGGCCCAGTAATTGCCAGTCTATGCTGGAAGACTGTATCCCAGGATCTCCCCTGGGTTCCACTCATATAGTGGGGAAACACTATATGATTTTTAGGACGACCCTTCTGTGTGCTGTAGCAAATGCCCTGTGAACATACAGTGGGGGACCCAATTCTTAGTTATTTATATCACCTGCAGCCCCCGTGTTTCCTGGTCTTGGGTTCAATCTCTAAATTCAATCTCTCCCATTCCTACCCTTCTAAATTCCCTGCCAGATGCACCTCTCCCAGCCAGTCCAGCAAGCAGCCAGAGGGTGGGGGAGTGGGAGAGCTGGGTGGGTTTCCAGGACCAGTTGTCCCCTGTGTAAGCTTCTCTCCAGGTTTGGTTTTCTGCTGGTCACGTAAGCACACTCTATGTCATGCAGTGTGTGTTTATTGGTTGTATTTTGGGTCAAACTCGGGTTTGCCAGGAATTGGCTTCCTTAGCTGCCAGCACCCTGTGCTGCAGCTGCAAAATTGTCCCCCCTTTGTCTTCCACATGCTGCATGGAGAGATGGCAGCTTCTTTCCCAAACAAGGATATTGTGTAGTGGGCATTTCAGTTTAGTGGGCAATGTCCTGGATCTCTAAATGCTCCATACCCAGACACGCCTTGGACCTCCTAAAAATGTGGGTTCCTTCAATCCCCAAATCCCTCCACTGTGCTCATGGAGGGGCCGCTCTGGCTGCAGCAGTGGCTGGACCACGGGGGATTTCTTCTTTATTTTATTGTATCCAACCTCCTGAGTTCCCGATCTGCTTTGAATGTCCAGTTTTAAATTCCAGGGGAGTCCCCCCACCTTTCTTTTCGGTTCACCCACCTTGCAGAGGAGCTGCCTGTCTGCTTTCTTGGTTTCACTCCACAGAGCAGCCGGGAAAGCGGCCTGCTCTTTTCCACCATCTTGAAACTCCTCCAGCCTGTGCTTTCTTGTCTTGCTTCTTTGATTTCTTCAGGGAGAGTCAGAGTGAATTTTAGGACGGCCATTCTGCGTGCTGTAGCTAAAGCCCTGTGAACTGCTTGCTGCTTTTCCCTTCACTCGGGGGAAGAAGGAGCAAACAGGAAACAGAAAGCTGGGGAGAAGGCACTCTTCCCAGCCCTGTCTGGACTCCAGGCCTTTCCTTCACGTCCTTTTAGAGGCTCTTTCATGGCCTTTCTGTGTTCTCTGACCAGTACAGTCCCTCAGCCCACAGGGGCTGGTCTAGGACCCCACTGGTACCAAACCCAAGGATGCTTAGCTCCCACGTGGATTTGCATGGAACCTACACACATCTTCTCATGAACTTTCATCATCTGTAGATGACTTATATTACCTACGACAACATAAATGCCACGTAGATAGATGTTGTTCTGTATCGTTTGGGGTATAACAACAGGAAAAAAGCCTGCATGTGCCTAGTACAGACACTGTTTTTTCCCCAATACTTTTGGTCTGCAGCAGGATGACCCTGTGGATACAGAACCCACAGACATGGACGGCCTCTATGCTCAGCCAGAGGCCCAAGGGGGGCCCACGAGGCATACTATCCCCTCAACATGACTCTGCCCGGAACTCCTACGGCCTGGGCTTCCTGGGCCTCTGCCTGTCTCTTTGGAGGCCGTGGCCTCTGCCTGCATCCCCATCCTGCGGCCACCAGGGGGTGTGCTGGGGCAGTCGCAGGGTGCTCTTTGTTACCCATCTTTTTTCATATATTTTGCCCAATGTTTTGGTTGTTTCCGGTCCAGGAACACAGCTGCCCCCACTCTCTCTACCTCTCACTGGGAGCAGAGATGGCTCCAAGCCTGTCTTCATCTCTCCGTGCTTTACTGTTTTCAGATGCTCTGATCTTTGTACTGAGCCTGTTCCCTTTCCATCATCTTACTAGCCAAGCTCCTCCATTTGTAAAGTAAGCACACGCATGTGCACACACACACACACACACACACCACGGCGACCTGCTGTAGGAAAACACGGGCAACCGGAGAAGGATTCCTACAAATCCACGATGATAAAACATAAAAGGTCAATCGTTTTTGTCCAACAGCAACCCCCTCACAAGCCAAGGGCTGTGAGTGTCGTGAAGCCAGGTGGGGAACCGTAGTCCTTGTTTCCTGTGCTGTGTGGGGAGAGGAGTGGGCTGTCCACGCCATGCGGGTGGGCATTCATGCCCACCGGGCTCCCCGTGGACACTCTGCCAACAGGTGTAAAGAAGCTTGAAAGTGAGCATGCCGGCCCCAAGTTCACTTCTAGGCGCTCTTTCTGAAGTTGAGACTCTGAACAACGGTTTAGGCTCCACCTTTCTTGCATCCTGTCTACACTGGTGCCAATGCTGAAGGCACAGAGAAGGCCGCAGTGGGAAACTGGTCAACAATCTGATAGACCCATAGTTTTTGTGTGTGTGTGGTCAGCAGGATAGCCTGGATTAAAAAGTAAAAGATGTGATTTTAATATAGGTAATGTATATATTAAATATATATATATCATATGTAAAGTAAAAATAGAGTTTACAAAACAACAAGTACCACATAGTCCCATCCTGGTTTTAAAAAATCAGTGTATAGAAAACGATGGCGCCCTACGATATCAGCGCTATTTCTAACTGGTGAATTTATGAGTGTGCTTTTATCTCCCTATGTTTTCAGATCTCTCTATCATAAACATATATTGACTTCATAGTAAAGAGTAGGGTTACTTTTCAGTTATTTAAAATGTTTAGTAAATATGTGTCTTGATGGTGGTACAGGCCATGACCAGCAGCCTCCTCCGTGAAGGGCCAGGTGCTGATGACCTTAGGTGTTGCTGACTTCATGGTGCATGTGGCTGCCCAGCCACCGGAGCACCGAGTGACCGTGGACCTCACACATGAGCAGATGTGGCCATGTTCCAGTGAAACTTGATGTCCTAAAGGAAGTGGCAGGGGATTGGCCCAAGGATGTCCTGGCTGACAGCTGCTGTGGGCGCCCAGGGCTTGGGGTGACCGAGGGCCATGCCCACAGGCCTTCCTCATTGCCCATCTTTGCCTGGGCCCTTAAAAGTCCACTAGCCAGAAAATGTACCTTCTTTACAAAGGACCCAGGGCTGTTTCCCTCGTTTCAGACCGTTACTCCATTATTATTTTGACTTGTTCTTTCCTCAATTGAGAGGATCATATTCAGCCCCAGGATCTTGGGGCTCTAATCACAGGAAAATTAGATGCTTGGCGGTGTTATTTGGGGGGCTGAGTAGTCGTTTCTGCAGTTAGACAGAAAAGAGGGACAGCAAGGCCTGTTCCTTTGTCGTTTTCAGGGTGGAGCTCAGGGCTCCGCGCTGCTGACAGGGGAGGTGGCCAAGCACGTAGATGAGAGCCTCCCAAGCCCCGACCTGCCTGCAGGGCTCCGGCACTCTCTCTGTCATTGAGTCTGGACAGCCGTGTCCTTCCCTGTGGTTCTCCTGGTCACCACGTGTCGTGAACTAGATGCTGCAGCCTTTGGGTTGGGGTCCCCCAGATGCTGAAAATCCACCCATGGGACAGGAGTGGGGCAGGGAGGGTGTGCTGAGCCAGGCTGACTCCAGGGTGAGACGTGAGCTCCGGCTGGCGCTGCAGAGGACACAGCCGGGGGCCAGGCAGGCACGAGTAGATTCCACTAGAATTCCCGCTCCCTTCCTCTTCCTCTGAGGACACACAGCAACGCCACTTAGCTGGCTACCAGGCTCAGGCCCAGGTGTTGTCCCCTCCATGGCACTGCAGGCTGTGGCTGTGCGTGCCCTTCTGCAGGGTCCCCTCCTCTCCGTGGCCCCAGCTCCTGCAGACCTTGGAAGGTGCTGCCCTTGCTGTGTGGGCCTGGATCCCTGAAGGCACACTGTCCCAAAGCCTCCCTCCTCCCAGCACTAGGACATCCCAGCCTTTGGGACCCCAGTGTGCTGCAGGGAGGTGACAGCCGGGGTCCTCCATGCTCTTTCTGCTGGAGGGGACCGCTGAGCTCAGAGCCGTGCATCTCTCCCCTTCTGTCTCCTCAGAGATCGCAGGTGCTCCAGTGTCTGAGATCTCGGGGCCCTTCTCCACCGAAGACATAGCCAGCAACTGTGTCCCCGCCCAGGCTTTGAATGACCCCATTCTGTGGATCGTCTCCTACACCCTCATGAGCGTGTGCGGAGTCATCCTCCTCATCCTGATCCTTCTGCTGCTCATCCCCTTCCAGTGCCGGCACACGCCCCGCGACCCCGAGGTCGTCAACGATGAGTCCTCTCTCGTCAGGCATCGCTGGAAATGAAGAGCCACGTCTGACTCTCTGACCTTGACCTTGGCTCTCCACAGGACTCCGCATCCAGGGTGCCGCGTGGGTCGGGCCAGGCTCCTTCCTCTGTGCGTTGGTTGGGAATCTCGTCCTGCTCCCACATGCCTTCCAGATTCACTGTACCTTGATTATTCTTGATCTTAAAGCTTCCGGTTCTTCTTTCCTACTTCCAAGAAAAATGGTAATAAAAAACACCTCATTCTAAACCAAAATGGAGTGGATCAGGCTTCAGGCTTTACGGAGCTGCAAACTGACCAGGTGTGTCATCAAAGAAAAAAAAGGGGCAAGCCATGACTGGCTTTCTTTCTCTAACCTCTTGAAAAATGTGTGTGCATAACCCTGTTAGCTTCCTAGGAGCTTTTGTATTAATAGTATCTAAGGGTATTTTGCACCGGGCTTTGGCGTGGGTTGGGTGGCACTGGAAGACTTTGCAACATGGTGCAGGAGGAGCCGTTGCCCCAGCCCTCACCAGCCTCTCCTGCAGACGCGGGGCCTCCTTCCTGTCGAGGCACAGGTGAAGGGGACCTGCTCTTTTGTACCCAATGAAGCTGTGCTATTGTTGGTGGAAAGTTAAAGTACTACCTCTATGACTTTGCCCAGGGTCCTGAGACTGGGTGGGGTGGCGCAGCTTGATGCCAGCTATGTCCTCACCCGCCAGAGTCCTCATCCCACCAGGTGAGAAGGGTCCACTGAGCTTGGTTCTGTGGCCATGCTGGCCGCGACCACACACCCTTCCTCCTGCACAGCTCAATTAGCAGGGCCTTCAGGAGCGAGACAAATGCGACTTTGATGGCAGAGTTGTTTCTGTTTCTAGGTCTTCTCTGGAAGTGGGTTGGTTGGTCCCCTTCTGGGAAACAGAGAAGTGGCTAAAGGCCCACGCTCTGACCCACTGCAGAGGAAGCCAGGTGAGGGACACGGAGGAGCTCTGATTCTCCCTGTGCTCTCAAGCCATGTGCTTCCCTCTGCATAACTGCGGGGCTCAGGGTGACTGCCCGGATGCACTCAACCAGAGCTGTTTGGCAGTCGGCCTTTGTGCCTTTGGCCTTTGGTGACAGGTGATTAGCGGTGTCCTTGTTTGGGGGGAAATCCCCACTTGCTGTTGCTCATTTGAGGCCTTTGCCAAAGAGAAGTGGAGCCTTAACTCGCTGCAGCCGGCTTACATGACCTGATGCAATCAGAAGGTGCCAGCCAGTCTCCCTTCTCTCTTCACTTTGCAGTGCTACTGGGCGGGCTCGGCGTGTTACAGAATTCCTATCAGCAGTGCTAAGCACCCCCTCCCCCGCAGGAGTGTTCTTGCTGTGTGTGTGGACGTTCAGGACACCTGTTCTGCTCATGAGGTCCCTGAGTCACCTCCATATTGAGAAATACGTGACCATGCCAAAGAGACATGGGGGCCACCCAGGCAGGTTATGGTGAGCTCGTAGATGCTGGCAGCCTAAAGAATCTTCTGTGAGATTCCCGTGGGGGAAGAGCTGAGCTGGATCTGAGAGGAAGCTGAGCACACAGAGGGCAGAGAGGAGTGTCCTCGCCTGCTCTTGTCTTGGCTGGCCTCTGCTGATCATTTCAAAATGTGTTGCAGAGCTAGACATCTCTGGCAGTGGATTTCACTTCTTATCCCGATGACTTCTCCATGGATTCCTGTTTTGTGAGCCTCTTTGTATCAAAGTGAAGCCAGTTATCCTAAACTGCACCTCCTCTTTGCTGTAAAAAAACTGACCCCTGAAATAACAGGAGGGGTGCGGGGTGTGGCCGGCAGCTGGGCTGTGGGTCCTGGGGCAGGTGCCGTCTGTTCCTCTTTGCTCTCCTGGTTTCTGAGTGGGGATGGTTCTGCTGCGGCAGATCAGCAGGCACAGCTCTCAGAATACAGGAGCCTAACAGATCAGGTTCCCCGAGGCCCTGGATGGAGTTTACAATAATGCTCTTTGCTGCGCATCTAATTTCCCTACCTTTGCATCTCCGATGCCATTGGATGTGACATTTTAATGGGAATGCTTAAATTACAAAAGCATAATTTAGCAACAAGAGTGGAACAGACAGTTGAATTTAGGACACTTTCCTGGCATGCATTGCAGCTGAAAATTGGACTTTGAGTCCAAACTGTGATAGTGACACCCACCTCCTCAAGTTATGTAAATTGAGACTGCCTGACACACCCGCAGAGAGATTTGCTTTGAACAGGAAGGGAGGCTGCAGCCCTTTGAGGGTGTCATTTTTTACCTTGCAATTCACCATGGAAGGTTCTGGAAATCAGCCCTGGCCTGAAAGGAGCAACTGAACGATTGCATGTTAGAAGCCTCCTCAGCTTCAGAGTGGAGCAGGTTCTCCATGAACCAGCTTATTTTAAGTAGTGTGCTGCTTCCTTCTTGATAACTTACTCAGAAGTCTGAAGTGAAGCCCTGCCTTCGGAAACTGGAACTATTTCTAAAATACAGCAAGAAGCGAGGTGGGGGTTGAGTCTTTTTCCCCCTTGGGAATTTAAAGGAACCATGAGTGACTGGTATCTGATCCGCTGGCACATGTGCCACGCCCTATTGCCTTTCTTCTGAGCCCAAAACAAGTGCCTGGCACTGAAGAAGCCCTGCCCTGTGCACGACCCCGGGTGCTCCAGCTCAGCACTGTGCTTCTGAGCCTGGAGAAGGACGTCTCTGGGCTCATCCTGAAGCCCAGAAGTTTGAGTTGGAGATAGCCTTGGGGTCAGTGATCAGAACTGTGGAGCCATTCCCAGCAAGACAGCGGTAAGGACGCCATGGAGCTTGGGGCCATAGATTTGGGGATTTGGCTGCAATTAGGGGATTCATTCTCTCCCTTAAGAGGAGCAAGAAGAGGAATCATTTAATTATTTAGTCAAAAATGGGGGTTTGTTGAGTTCTTCAGGCCACATCCCATTTGGTGGATCTGCCACACAGGGTCCCATCCTGAGTTCTGGCTTCCTGCCGCTCCATGTCCCCAGGAATAAGTCAGTGCCAAACTGTGTTTCATAACCAGGAGTAATTGGGTTTCACAGCCTTTGTCCTTATGAGTGGAAATCAGATAATCAGGGAGAAACCCAATATGTTTTCTCTTGCACAAACTATTTAGAATTGATTATGGAACCATTCAGGGAAAAAAACTTACCCTAAGATTTTTTTTTTCTTTTTTTAAAGAAAAACTGCCCAACACCATAAAAGGTACAGTTGTGGGGTCTGCCAAGGGAGAGACTAGATTTTTAGTACTAGGTAAACTCCACAAATCTCTATTAGGCTTAACATTTTTTAGACTTGAACTTATGATTGTTTATCAATTCAAAAGCCATCTGGAAAAATTCTTTGGGGGGTGGGGGAGGGGTGATGCGATTTCCAGTGTGCTGACTGACAGGGAAGCAGGTTTGACTCCTTCAGGAAACGTGCTTTCATTCCGGCCACCTCAGATTTCTTTCTCACAGTTGCTGGATCTGTGGAGATGTGATTTGTTTTAGAGATCCAGGAATACTCAAGATAGCATCCCCATCAGCATTAATGGCCTGAGGGAAGGTGGGCTGTGAGCTGCCCAAGCTGGGGAGGGATGTCCACTCCAGAGACAGAGTGCAGGGTTATCGGTGTTTGGTAGACTCCAGGAAGAGGGCGGGACAGGAAGGAGCCAGAAGAGAGGTGGACCCACAGTCTGCATTTGTGCAAAGACACTGTGGGCTGCTGTCCCAGGGGTGCTCTCAGGGTCCTGGCCCTGCCCACGCTGTAGTGATGTCCCAGAGGGTCCTCTCAGACTGGTCACTGCAGGAGAGGAGCCATCAGACTGAAGGAACTTGCTTTATAGCCGTATTTAGAACCCTGTTCTAGTAAATAGAGAGGCCCAAACTGCCCAGCGGGACCCAGGCCTCAGCCTGCAGGTCCAGGGCTACGACTGAGAACTTTGGAAGGCAGGGTCAAGAGACTGAGGCCAGGGGACTTTGCCAGGTTACCTATGGGGTCTGAGCTCCTGGGAAGGGCGCCTGGCAGCTGCTGCCTGGATATTCTTCCCGAGAACAGAGTAACTCAGGCCAGCCCAGCCACTCTGACCACACTCCTTTCCCAGACACTTCCAGAAAGAAGAACTTGAGGGAAACCAGATCCTTCCTCATGTCACTGCTGTCGGCCTCCGAGCCCTGCCCCCAGGGTGGCCCCCAGCCTCAGCATCCCTAGCAGGTCCAGGAGGTCCCAAAGTGAACCTCAGTCCTATCCAGAATCAGCGTGGGACAGCCTGTGGGGCAGGGCCACACTGAGAATGGGCCAGGCCCTTCCCTCACAGGTGTGCAGTGTTTAGGATGAATGGGGCCAGGCTGGCCTGTACCCAGGACGCACCCACAGAGCCCCACATGTCACAGCCCGAACAGAACCTTGCTGGTATGGATCTGTAACTCTGCTGTGTCACCCAGGTGCTGGGTGTGTGGTGCAGACGTGGTTCCAGTTGACACGGCTGTGCTCACAGTGGGGCCTCTAGAAGGAGACAAGCAACCTGGGCCTCTCTTGCCACCAGCCCCACGTTGACATTGATGTGTGTCCGGGGTCTCCAACGAGCTGGGAGACAAGTTTTTGTTCACAACACATGCACAGACAGGCGTATCACGAGGAGCCCAGTGTCCCCCCATGGCCAGGCCTCTTTCTTTCTGGTAAAGGCCAGCTGCGGACTCTGAGCTGTCTCCTGATGTGAGCGGGTTTCCACCTGTTACATCTTGGGGCTCCATGGAAGAGAAATTTCACAAGTTTCACGTCTCTGAGCCGGGCTCTCAGAGCAAAGTGTTCAGAGGGCATTCAAAGGCTATCTTCTTTTGAGATCAAGGGGGTGGGGGGAACTGCTAATTAAGGATCTGTTAATCAATATTAAAAATCACAATAAAATTTATTAACAAATTGTATGCAATTTTGTGTTCTTTGTTGCTAGGGGTATAGAACTGGGGGTTACCTCCCCTGACACACATTTTCCTAATTGTGGATGCCATGTCACACATGGTCATCAGCAAGGGCGGAAGTTCTGCTTGGTGTAGCAATTGCTCGGTACACGTGAGCACTCGGAGAATGAATGGGATCTGTCACGTGCTAATGACAGATTCATGGGATCTAAAATGACATATTTTCTACCATTTCTGTTCATTTTACTGTTGACCATTCTTGAGGTTTAAAATGCCTGTGTTCGGGCATTGGAAGGGGCCACTCATCTCTCCTTAAAGTGACGGGGCTCACTGCCACGTGGGCAGTGGCTGTTAGGGTTCTGGTGGAAGAGCTTCCAGCCTGCACTGAATTCTAAGCAGATGCCAAAAGTAGAGCCTGGCAAAATGTATTTTATGCATATCTCAGATTTATATCTTTTAACACATGGTTCCTAAGTGTAACTTGTATTTCTGGCAATGCTTAAAATGATTTTATATTTCCCTTTTGGAATTTTCCTCCATTTCCAGCACACTGACTTTAATTATAGTTGTGATTTGAACAAGAAGATATTCATTCCATCTTCGAAGGGGCTCAGCGGCCGTGGACAAATGTAGAAACGATTGCTGTGCAAAACATGGAGTTTTCTAAAATGACCTTATTTTTATACTTATATGCTGCACTGATTTAAGATATAGACCATTGAAAAGGAAATAGAATATATTGGTTTATTTGAATAAATAATACTCTAACTTGTTGGGTGTGAGTTTTTTGTTTGTTTGGTTGGTTGGGGTATTTTGGGTTTGTTTTTTTACGGACTTCAGTTGTTCAGGCCACACTTCTGAGATCACTGGGGTGGTGTGTCATGGGCTGTTATGGCCACTGCTTCCACGTGGGCTTCTGCAAAGCAAAGACAGAGCTGAGTGGAGGGGCCGTCACAGGTTCAATGACTAAGATGCAGAACATGCCCAAATGGGGAAAGAATAAGGTCCTTTAGGATCTGAAGACCACACAGGGAGTGGAGGGGGCGTGCCTGCAGAAAAGAAATGGAGGACACACCCTCACTGGTCTCAGGGATTGGGCAGGACGGTCCTACCTAGTCTTGAGGCTGGTGTGATGGGACTGGGGATGTCTGGGTAGGTGTCACTCCCACAACCCCCTGCAGGGAGGTGGCATTCTCCTGGTCACCAATGGGAAACCAGCCCTCAGGCACTTGTCCAGGAAAACAGCTAGAAAAGCGTGTGCCCCAGGAGTAGAAGCCAGCTCTGTCCCCCTCCAAAGCCACACTCCCTCTGCACCCCACACTTGCCTCCTGAACCCCACCCCCAGAGCCTGAGGCCTCGTTTGTGCCATGAGGATCCTGCTTAGTCATCCGGTCTCTCAGACACAGCAGAGACACTTGGTGAGTGAGGCCACCTCATCTAGAGCTATGAATCAGCTGCAAGACCACCCTTCAAAATAGGGTCACTACTCACCTTTGTGTACCCAAGGGAAAGGGGGAAAGCAATTTCAAACTACTCAGGCCTGATTGGAAGGCGTACCTAGAGTTACTGGAGAAAACGAATAGGACACGTACTTTTAATAGCCATGAAGATCACTGGGTTTCCTATTCAGCCTTCTCTAAGCTGCCCTGGCAGGCATGGAATTCTACACAACGCGGAACCTCAGGCGGCCTCACAGGCGTGATCCCACGTGTCTGCCACGAGGTGGCGCTGTTGGGAAGTGTGGTGGTCCAGGTTTGCGCTCCTAAAATCTGTTCTTTTTTCTTTTTTTTTTTTTTTTTTACAGTTTTCACAGGCAGGTTTTATCAAGTGTGTGTATGTGTAAGCTGTATTCCCAAAAGTGCCTGGGGATGCCAAGCTTTCAACTCTGCTGCCAGAGAATCTGAAAAGTAAGCTGGCTAGCTATGTAGTCAATCTTCAAGGTCACCCCCAATTACTCATCTCCATTCCCAAAAGGTCCCTAGGTGTTTAGACCAAGCTCTCCAAATGCTCTCTGGAAACGTCTGCTTGGCTGTCACCCTGGGGGGGAAACTGAAGCACAGAGTGGTGTCAGAAAGTCTCCAGGCTCCTCCTGGGATGGCCCAGTTGATTACCAGACCCATGATCACAACCACTATGCCTTTATAAGATTAAAAGTGAGAAATCGAAAGGAAGATTGTTTTTAAAAACTGAAGATTTGCAAACACCATAATGCTACAAGGCTCAAATACTGGAGAAAATATTTGCAACAAATGAATAGATAAAAACAGAGTTTGAGAGCAGCAAATTCTGGCCACATGCTGTGACATTTCACCTTCAGAACAACCCCTGTTGGTCACACTGTTTCCAAAAATCTTTTTTTTTTTTTAATGCAGGGTAGAAGACAGGGGCATAGAGAAGACAGACCAGGGTAAACAGGAGGGACTGGGAGGAGACCACCCTGCAAGGTGACCTTCCGTAAGCCAAGACCCTAAGCATGACACCAAGATACCAAGCATGAAAGCAAAAGGCGTCCAGCCCAGCACACACATCTCATCCAGATAAGCAGGTTGTATGAACTGGTCTTATTTTCAGTATTCTGCCTTGACGGCTGGGCCACGCTGGGTCTGGAGTCTAGCTAATACCTAGAGATGGTAAGCTACTCCCGGGAGCCTCCCTTTCAAACACAGACCCAAACACAGCCACCACCTCTGTGGGCTCTCACACTCAGGCCACTGTCTAGCCCTGCCCTTGGCACACAGGTCAAGTACTGGACAATGAGCACAGCCTCTGCCCCAGAGCCAGCCCGTCCTCAGCCTGCTGACCTCACCTCTGGCCCCCACCCACCATGGAAACCACAGTCCATTTGCCCTGCCCCTTCCCCTCCCCCTTGCTGTCTCTCCCGTTCCCTGAGTGGCCCTGCATGTAGTGTCATGGCCTTTCAGCCATTCAGGGATGTCATCTGCTCTCACCCCAGGGCATCCCTGGCCACCCATCTCTGAAGCCACGTGGCACCCAGAGGGATCTCTGTGGTTCCAGCAGATGGTTCAGCATGGAGCCCTTGCCTGAACTCGTTCCCTGATGTCCGTGATGGTGGGCAGGGCCAGGCCCCAAGGGAGTCAACCCCCTTCCCACTGAGTTCTCTGATTCCCTGAGCCAAGGCCAGATGTCTCCTGCTGCAGGCTTGGTGCCCACTGGTGCTGGTGGCAGAGGCCAGCAGGACCCTCCTTGGGGCTCTGCCCTCTGCATTGGAGCCGGCTCAGCTGGCCAGTCACCACCGCCCACATCAACTGAACCCTGTGGTGAGGGGCAGGCAGCAGAGGGAAGAGTCGGATGGGGCACCCCCCTCAGGGGACCTCCCAAGGGCCCCGGGCAGCCCCCAACTCAAGGGGTGCAGGAGTGTCTGGGGGCCTTGGGTCCCCAGACCCTGCAGCAGGGTAAGGAGCATGGAGAGAGTGACCCCAGGCCCCTGCCACCCTGCCCTGCCACCCTGCCCTGCCATCCTGCCCTGCCACCCTGCCCTGCCATCCTGCCCTGCCACCCTGCCCTGCCACCCTGCCCTGCCACCCTGCCCTGCCCATAGTCTCAGGTCCTGACGCCTTCCAGGCTGGCACTGGTGAGAGACATGCTCTTCCTCTCCTCGTGTCCCCAAGGTCCCAGGGGCTGAAGGAGGGCCAGGACCAGGGGCAGTGCTCAGAAGGCCCGACCTAGGCCCAGGGCCTTAGCTGCGGACATCAGCATTCACAGGATGAGATGACCGGGAGAGTGTCCCTGAGGTGCCCAGCTCAGCCCGTTGCCAGCCATGGGGCTAGAACAGAATCTGAAAGGTCAGGGGAGGGCAGGGAGGGGCCAGAAGCCAGGCTGAGCGTCCCCACATGAGTCCAGCCAAGGGCAGGCCAGGCTGGAGTGGTCAGAGGGCTGGGTTGTGTTCAGCCCCTTCTCTGAGGCCTCTGCCAATGTACTCAGACTCAAGAAGGAAGAGGTTTCTGCTGTCCTTACAAGTGGCCAGCATCACTGTGCCCCGTGGAGGGCTGGTTCTTGTATTTCAAGCCAGTGTCCACTCTGCACTCTGAGAAGTCACTAGATATGATCAGCCACCTAAAAGCTAGGTGGCAAGGCACCCGCGATCCCATCCTCCAGGTGACACTCCCTGACCCCTGAGGTCCCTGCCAGCCTTCTGTGATTTTTCAGGCCATCCAGCAGCTCAGAGGTCACTGATCCTCACTCCTCCAAAGGGGCAGGGCTCTCAGACACTTGGTCACAACACACTCACAAATAGCCGGAGACAAGGGAGAGTGACTTCCTGTAGGGCACGCTGCTCCCCCCACAGGCAGTGGCCTGGCCTGAACCACCCAGCGTGCCCATCAGGGAGCTGGGGTCAGGCTGAGCCGCTGCTGCAGCTTGCAGCTGGCCGAGCCTGAGCCCAGCCTGGGCATGAGGGCTGGGCTCACCTCTGGCAGAGTCCCTGGGGACAGTCACCCAAAGCTCAGGTCCCTGGCAAGCTTGGAGCCCTTTGCTCTAGTTCTGCCGTGGCTCAGTGGATCCGGCTCTGACTCCAGAACCAGGGCTGGGACCAGAGCTGACCTGGAGCTGCCCTGCACGGCCCCACAAGCCCACACAGGGCTGGACAGCATGGCATGGCCGGGACCCAGCTCACCGGCTGCGCCCAGTGTTTGAGGCAGGAGCCGGGACTTTCACTACTGGAAAGTCACACTGAGAACATCCCTGACTTAGCCACCCGCTCAGGGGGAACAAACCCACGGTCGGTGTTTGAGCCCCAAGAGCCACAGACCACCTGGAGCCCCCCCGGCTGGGACGGGGACTCAGACCATCTGAAACCCCTGCACTCCCAGGAGCGCTGTTTCTGGGGGAGGATAAAGGGGAACTGGACCAACCTCAGGCCTCTGGGGCTCACGGCCGCCTGGGGGAGGGCCTGCCCCTGGGATCCATTCCTTCCTCCAGGGACTGAGCCTGCCCTGGGGCTTCCCCACGCTGGTAGGGGACCAGCTCTGTGCCACAGGAGGACCGTGCTGAGGGCGGAGGCCCTGGCATGGGAGAGGACAGCCGAGTCCAGAGTGTCGGGGAGCCAGGTTCACGGCAGCCCCCAGCTCCTCCCCAGCATGGTGCAGCCTCCAGGGGCCAGCCGGGTTCTAGAGACCAGGTGCTCCAGACCCACCTTCCCCCCCAGACCCTCCAGGGGTCTCCAGGAAAACTGCACACAGCAGAGCATAGTCCATGTCAGGTCTGGAAACCTCAGATTCCATTTCTGTCCCACAGAACTGCAAGTCCCTGCAAGATTGGGCAGAGCCTGCCAAGGGACCTGGCCATGGGACCTCACCATGGGCAATGACTCTAGCAGCCACCAGAGGGCGGCAGCCACTGCGAACGCATCAGCCTTAGGGCTGCTCCCAAGCAGGACTGGGAGAGGCCTGGGGTGCCTGGAGGGAGAGCCTGGGGGTGTCTCTGGAGGGAGAGGATAAGTGGTGTCTTTGGAGAGACTTGGGGCCATTAGGAAGTGGCACGGGGGCTGGGGACACAGCTCAGATGGTAGCGTGCTTGTCTCGCATGCACAAGGCCCTGGGTTCAATCCCCAGCACCACAAAAATCAAAAAACCAAACAAGGAGTGGCCCTGCCCACCCAGCCTCATGAACTGGCGCAGTCCTTTCCCCAACTGCAGCCGGCGGTCAGCTCTGGCGCTCCCGGGCTCCGGGTCCTGCTGCAGGGGCACAGGCAGCCCCCACCTCGTGGAGACACCTGCCACAGCTGCGGACTATGCCGAGCCCACAGTCCTCCTGC